GCCGGCCGCTCGGGCCCTTCCACTCTCGGTCTCACCCTAAAGGCTAAGGCGACCGAGAACGCCCCATTCTCCAGTAGGTAATGGGGCGGCGCCCCGCGGGCTGCAGGTGGGGAGGGGTCCCAGCACCGTGTAAGCCCTCAGCTATCAGCGGCTACCCTGGGTGCCTGGGGTGGGGGTGGGGGTCTGCTTCCGAGGGTGAGTGGCCTAGAAATGTTCAGAAATCGAAAGTTTCTCCTCCTCCTCCACCTGTGCCAGGATGGAAACGCCCCCTGGCCCCACGCCTCTGAACTGGGGAGATGGGATGAGAATTGTCTTTGGCTCTGCTGGCTCCCTCCGTTGTCCGATGCCCTCATTCGTGCGTTGCTCTGGTGCTCAGCTAGACAACCCCTTGCGCTCTACCTAGACACTCCCACTCCAAGCCGCATGGAGTGAGCCCACCACTCCCTCCTCTTCCCTCATTTCTCCTTTCATGTAGGACCCCCGCCCCCTAGCTTTCGCTAGCCCGGCCAGCTACGTTTATCTGATAATTGAGTTATTAAAAGATTTGGTTTCCTTGGGCCTATAAATCAATAAACAGTAGGATTAACGCAAGAACTTGGCTTTTAAGTCAAAGGAAACGTTTAAGGCAAGCTTCTCTGAGCTTTGTTTTCACACCAAACAGGTGAGTTGCCACCCTCCCTCCACCCCTGCACTCTTTAGGCATTGTATCCATGTCCAGAGCCCCCTCTCAAACTTCAGACCCCAAGTAAAACACCTAAATATAGAAAGGAGGAGTCAGGATGTGACAGTGCCACTTCCCACTTTCCAGGTTCTAAAGACCTTTTGCCCATTTCCTGCCCACTGCTCCCTCTTCCTCTGTACTGTACTGTGGTGCTCAGAGGAGCAAGGTGAGGGCCGCTGGGGTAGGGAGTCCATCTTCACCTTTTCCTCTAAACCGAAAAGGTAACTTCCTCTCCTCCTTCTCTCCCCAATTGTCTTGCATTTTCTTTCCTCCTTTCTGGCCTCCACATCCTTAGCTTTCTCCACCCCCACAAAAAGAACCGAAGAGGCTTTCAAAGACCTAGCTGCTTTGTTTGCTTTGGCCAAGGAAACCACTTTCTCTCAAGCAATTATTTCATATCCTATGAAAACTTTGGTTGAATGGAAAACCCCAAACCCCGAACTTATCTACACGCTGTTCCTCCGGTACAACGCGTTCCTAGTTAGAGTGTTTATAGAGAATTTGTCATCACATCTGATATCCTGTACTTGTAATACATTATGTGGAAAGGAAATAACCTTAAACCATCTGATGTTGCCTCAAGAGCCCGAACAGCATTTCCCCTCCTTTGCCAATGTATGTTAAATACTTGGCGCAGAAAAAAAGAAGAAATATCAAAATTAGTTTTGTTTTCTTTTTAAAAAATGGAATGAACACTCTCCTTCTTTAAATGCTAAAATCGACTCCTCTTTTGAGTTGATCTCTAATTCACTAACATTGTTTTTGCCACACAATCAAGAAATATCAATCTATTGACTCTTCATGAGAAGAGCTCTGGAGGGTATTCATGTTAAGTTTGTATATATTTATTTATGCTTAATTTAATGGGAATGTGTAAATATGGCGAGCAAGTAGTTTGGGATTATTTATCTGTGAATCTATACCTCTGTGAATGGGTGGTTTGAAAAAACAAAACCACTTGACCCTAGGTAGAATCCTATCTGAATTTTTCTGTTCTTTATAGACAAGCTGTTATGGTAATGGGTAGAAATTGGTTTATTGTCGTGTTGATCTGATTTACACAAATAAAAAGATTGTTGTGTTTTTGTTGTGTTTTCATCTTCAGTTTCTTAAATTGGAACACTGTTTAATTCTACAAACAGCAAAAAATAAAAAAAAAATTGTGAGACCTTTTTTCCTCCACTCACACAGCATTTCATTACAACAGAAATACATTTCACTTCTCAGAAAAACACTTTCATTTAAATTAAGAGGTATTTCTGATTTTTTAAATTCCAAAATTGACGCTTTTCTGTTTCTAACCAAATTTACAATAAAAGCTCATGCTAATGGCACTTTTTGGGTTATTTTGCCCTTTAAAAACCAAGAGTCAAATTTACTTCCTAAGTAACTAAAGGACTCTGGGTCTGAGTCAAAGTTGATGCTTTCCTCCCACTGCTAGTGAGATTGCATTCTGGCACAGTGTTCCAAGAAGGAGATGGTTCAGGTGAGAAGTCCGCAGAGCTGAGTGGACTCTTGTCCCTCTGCGATCTGGAGGCTGGACCATCCCTCCCAGATCTGGAGGCTAACTGGCCCATTTCAAAGTCAAACCGGCCCTGACTTCACCAGCAGTGCAAACCCCTCTGTAAACAAATGGTCTTGGTTTTCCCTGACTAAGAAGAAGAAAAAGGTGTGGATGTCTTAAGAGGATGAGGATAGCTCTTACCTTAGGCTTAGAGATTGCCTAGAGAAGCCAGTT